AGAGAATATGGCATGTTCTTTTCCTTCAGCATGTTAATGTCACAGAAACTGATAAGTGAAAAGAAAACTATGGGTGCCAGAATATGGATCATAAATAAAAGAAGCAAGCAAGAAAGAACCAATATTATCTTAATTAGAGAAAAACAGGCTTGGGGATGCCCGGCAGAAAGAGTAGGGCCAGGTCAGAATGTCCCCAATGGCATCAAAATCCTAGACACCAACATGGTCTCAGGTGGCTGACCAGACCCTTGACATCCACATAGCCCTCAGTGTTAAATGGAGCCATGAACATCAACTCAGACCCTGGATGCTACAGGGTCACAGATCCAGACATACATAGCCTTAGGCAGCAGCTTGAGCCCAGATGGCACCATGGCCCCATGTGGCAGGTTAGGCCATCCAAAAGAACTGAGGGACCAAAAATTCAAATTAATAAAAGTTTAAAAACTTAGGCCCTGAAAAGTGAACATCTAATGATAAAGGAAAATTTAACTCCTTAAATCAGGAGTGCCATGACTGGCGCCTGATCCCCTGCTCTCAGAGAAGGAGAGGTAACTGTCCACCACTCCTGTTAACATTCCTTTATTACTTGCTTGTCACAAAGATCCCCAAGCCCAGGGGATAACTGAGAGACCCTGTGACTCTGTAACCCTGCAAGCTCATGCCCTGTCTTATCTCAGTCAAATGTATAGTTACTGACTAACTATGTACTTTGTATGACCTTAAGGAACCATGGAAACTCTGTAATTTGTGGCCTTCAACCTTATGGTATGCCCCTTTAAAAGCTTCTCTTTTTGGCTGGTTGGCATTTCATTTGCCCGCCATGCAGTGAGATCCTAGCTTGGCCAGCATGAAATAAAAAGAAACCTTTTGCTTTTGCATCAGAGTGTCGACTCCTTGGGTTAGTCTCTGGGCTCCATGAACCTGGCACAACAGAACCATTTCTTTTTATTCTGCAGGTGGACATCCAGTTTTATTTCCAAGATGCCATCCTGCCTCCAATGTGTATTTCTGCTTCTTCACTGAAAATCAAGTGACTTATTTGCATGAACTCATGTCTGAGACTTGTAGTCTATTCTGTTGATTTACATGTCAGTTTTCATGACAGCAACATAGTTTTCACTACTATGCTTCTGTAGTATGACCTAGTTCTAGATATGACAGTTCCTCCATCTTTGTCCTCTTGGTTCAGAATTGTTTTGGTTATTTTAGGTCTTTTGGATTTCTATCTGAAATTTAAGATTTTATTATATTATATTCTGCAAAGATGTCATGCTGATTATGATTGGGATTTTGTCTATCTGTAATTACTTTTGGTTCTACTTTTGGTAGAATAGTTAATTTTAGAAGGATAATTCCACCAACTTATAAATGTAGGAGGTCTTTCCTAGTGTGTCTCTGGGTTACTTTCTTCACATTTTTCATTATAGGGGTCCTTCACTTCCTTGTTTAGGTTTATTCTGAGGATTGCCCTCTCCCATTGATTTACTTTTAACATAGCTTTATTAGTTTTTTGAGAATTTCTTATGTGTTTTAATCATATTCATCTCCCCTCCCTCAACTTTTACAAGACCCACAACCCCTAGACTTCCTATCCAATTTTGTGTCCTTTGGTGCAGTATTTTATTGGCCTATCAAGGCTAATTTGCATCACCTACATATTCTTGAATCTGTGGCTTTCCAATGCATTGTGTTTGATTTACTGGGTACTACATTCTTAGAGAAAACTGACTCTTCCTCACCAAGATGCTGACAAATGCCAATAACTTAGATAGGTATGGGACTTCATGCCCATCTTGCTTCTCTTCACTGGGTTGAGGTCTGGCCTGGGGTTGCTCAGGTCTTGTGTGTAGTGTTAAAACCTCTGTGAGTTCATATGTGTGTCTTCCAAGTTGTGTCCTGAAGAAATTACTTCCTTTTAGTTATTTATTGCCTCTCACTCTTAGACTTTTTCTTTTTCTTCTCCTCTCTTCCCCAGTAATTTGTAAGACCTGAGTGGGGGTGATTTACATACACACATACACACACACACACACACACACACACACACACACACACACACACACATATATATATATATATATATTATATATATATATATCTCCAATATGTATATCCATATAGGTCTGAACATTCTGCTGTCTGTTATTCTCTGTACCTTAGCAAGTTGTTGGTTTCTGTTTTATTCCCCAGAAGTTTCTCTGATGGAGGTTGAAAGATTCATTAGTTAGTGAGTAGTATAATAAGCCATTTGTGCCTATGACCTTTTTAGAAATAGGTTCTTGGCACAAGGATGGTGCCACGTATGGGTTCCATCTTATTAAGCAAGACTTAAAAAAGAAAGTGGTTGCTTGCTACTAAGATGTATGTGTTACTACTGTGTGATGATATATTATTTATGATATAATAAAACTTGCCTAGAGATCAGAACACAAAGCTAGCCAAAGTCATGAAAGCTAGGTGGTAAAGGCATACACCTTTAATCCCAGGACTCAGGAGACAAAGGCAAATGGATCTCTGTGAGTCTACCACCCAGGGCTACATGAGATTGAAACAGTCTAAAAGAGAAACAGAGCACATGCCTTTAACATCAACACTGGAGAGGTATATAAGATAGGAGCAGGGTCTCAGATTCTGACAAGAAGTCTTCATCTACATTGAGGACAGGATCCCTCCCCCAGCCTCGGAAGAGTTAAGAGCTTTCTGGTGGTTTGACCAGTTTGCTTTTCTGATCTTCAGCTTGAACCCCAATATCTGTCTCTGGATTTTATTTTTGTGCTGCATTACTGAAGAGTAGTTATGTTTTGCCAAACCTGCCATTATTGTATCTCCCAAGGTTGGGTTGGCAGTTGAGTAAGATTAATGGTTTCTTTTCTACTCCAGCAGCATTAATAGCACCTTCCAACACTATGAAAGCTGGCCACTAGGGATGAAGTTTCCATATCATTGTCATTGCCATCTTATTTTGCCATGCTCTGTGACTGAAGTTTGTGGTGTGTTCAATTCTAGTTTTATTGTAGAGTTCCGGAAGTTAACCAAGAGCGTTGGCAATTGCCTGTAGTGTGTAGGTGCCTTTGGAACCTCAGTGAACTACAACTTCAAAAGGATAACCCATTCTTTGCACTGAGCTTTTAATTTTTTAGCCTGTGCTGTCTGGTAGTGGCATTATTACACACATACAGAGTACTTCATTTTAACTTTGTTTTAGGTGTGTGTATAGGTATATTTTGGAGAACCTTCTACAGTAGTAGGTTTCCATGTAACTTTTCATTCTTTAGTGGTAATCCCCCCACCAGGAAACCCTCCTCTGTCATGCCTCACTCCCCTTCTCCATTTAATCATTAATCCTTCCTGTTTCATAATTCTGTTTTTAACACTTTATTCTGGTGCTTCTATCTTCCTTTGCTTGAAAGCTCCCACCCCCGCCTACTGTGGCCCCTTAGTGATTCTCTGTCCTTTCTGGGCGTTCCAAACAATACACACATACCTAAGACTCAAGGCTAACATCTACAGATAAGAGAAAAACTCCAGTGCTATAAATATCTCTCTTAGGGCTGCCAGTGTGTACCAGAATTCTATGTTGGTATTCCTAGTCTTTCAGGGTTTGAAGTACAATATTGAAATCTCTTCTGTCTTTGGTGTTTTCACTAAGGAGGTGAGTGTTATTCTAATGCCCTTCCCTTTGTGGTTTGTGGTTTCTATCCTGCAGCCTTCAATAACCTTTCTTATTTTTATTTTGTGCTTCGCCTATAGTATGGCCTTGGGAGTTTCTTTTCAGTATGTATTCAGTGTTCTCTATGCCTCTTATACACAGATAGGAATTTCTTTCCTTAGTTTTGGGGATTTCTCCCTATGATTCCTGTAAGATATGTTCTAGTCCTTCAAACTGGTATTCTTCCCCTTCTGTGCTCATAATTCACAGATTTGATCTTTTCAAAGTGTCACAATGCTTCTGAATAATCTGCTCAAAGGTTTTATAGTCATCATTTCCCTTAATTGAATGATGTGTTTCTTCTAACTTGTGTTTGGCACTGATATTCTGCCTCCTGTGTGACCCACTAGGTTGGTGAGGCTTTCCATTAATCTTGTCAGTTAAAAATCTGTCTGTCCCCATTTTTAATGTCTTGGTAACATTTTAAGTTTTTGTTGTCAGTCAACTTTTATATTAAAAATTAAACATTTAAAATATTACCTATGAATAAATCTACTGAATTTCTATTCAGTTTATTTAGTCTCTTTTCTCTGGCTTCAATTAATTTCAAAAATATGTCCTTAATTGAAATAAATTTACTTCACTTCACTCTGTTTTCCTCCCTCAATCTCCTCCTCAGTTACTCTCTCACAAACCCCACTGTGTCCCTATATATATATATATATATATATATATATATATATACATAAAACCTGCTGATTTTGTTTTTGTTGCTTGTGTGTGTATGGCTTGAGAGATGACCCCTCTGCATTTGACAACCAATAAGGGTCTCATCCCTAGGACTGGCTAATTCTCCTCGCTCAGCCGTCATTAAGTGCTTGAAATTCTTTGTCTGGGTTTAGACACTGCAAAGTTTCCCCCCTTCTGTGTTACCATGTCTATTGATATTGGTGTCATTCTGGTCTTGTTTATTCTACCCCTTGCAGCCATTAAGCCTCCTCTTTAGTCATGATCCCTAAGCCATAGAGATAGGAGCTGTGAGGTAGATGTATCTGTTAGGGCTGGACTATACACAATCCTCTGATCTCTGCAGTGTATTCAGTTGTGGTGTTGCTTTGGTTTTGGTGATAATTAGGATAAAGCACAGGAAGGTACCTTTGCCAGTCAGGCCAAGGTATGTTGCTAAGAGATCACCCCAAGCAACAAATCTAAAGGAAGAGTGGAGGGCTAAAACCCATGGAGGAGTGGGGACATGGGAGAAAGCTAGAGACAGACAGCAAGCCAGACTGGGAAACAGAGAAACTGGGTGAGAGAACAGGAAAGAGGGAACAAGGGAGAGCCACGATGTTCAGAGGGAACTTTTAATGGGAGCTTGCGTTGCTATGAGTTGGGACAGTGGTGATTCGCCACACTTGTTAGCAGTAGGTGAGAGTGTAAGCTGCTGCAGCTGAGCAGAAAATATAACAGTGATGGTCTCCATAGTCTCTAAAGAGAGGTTTCTTCGACGAGGGGCAGTAATTACACTTGTCTGTGTGGAAAAGGATAAGATTTAGAATGCAGTAAGAAATTATGCTCATCTAGCAAAGTGGTGGCAGTAATTATTTTCTAAGATCCCTGACCTCACCAGCCCACAAAGCATGCTAGGTTCCAGCACCAGGCATGATTTCCCTCATGGGTGCACCTTAATTCCAATAGGCAGCCATTGGATGTGAACAACCTGTGAGTTCCCTTAATGTTCCCTCATGGATATTTCACCATTCTGGTAATTGCCACAGTTCATAGGTGTTACAGTTGTGTAGGTGAATTAATTGTTTTACTCCTCTAGCTCCTTCAAGCTTTCTACTCTCTCTTCTTTGTTGTTCCCTGAGGCTTGAATGAAGGAGTTATGTTGTAAACGTAAAGTGAGGGTTGGGTACCTCACTTGTTCTCTGTATTTAAACAAGATGTGAAGAAGTACAACACCAATAGGCAGGCTAACATGGAAATTGGAAATCTCCTGAGACCTCACCCATAGGGAAACAACTACAGCACTGAGAAGTACTGAGAGTGGGAAATAGTCCTCCACAGGATTGAACAGCCTAATTGTTACCAAGCCCAAATGACCAGCCCTGGAATTATATACTTATGAGTAACACTAGGCAGACTGAGCAGTATGTGCACACACCACTACACAGACTGAGCAGTGTGTGCACACGCCACTAAACAGACTGAGCAGTGTGTGCACATACCACTACACAGACTGAGCAGTGTGTACGTGTGTCTGTGTGTCTGTCTGTATATCTATCTGTCTGTGACTGTGTTTTTTGTGTAATAATGACAAATAAAAAGAGATCCATGACAGGGGTCTGGAGAAGGAAAAGGAAGGGGGAAATGACGTAATTATACTTACTGTTGAAAAGAAAATAAATAAATACATTATAAAAGAAAAAATTAAATATTTTGTAGAATGTCTCCCAAGGTCATCACTTTAATTCCCTAGGACATTTCTAGCTTGCTTTGGTTTAAAGTAAAATTTAGAATGTGCTCATCATTTCCTGACTTTAGAGTTATTTTATATTTTCTCACATCTTTTAATTATACCTTCTTTTACTTTTGGGGGTTTTTCCATTGGGTTACTCTTACTAGGGTTTGATTCAGCTCTTCTGGCTACAACTGCTAAGGAGAATTGAGTTATGTGAAGGAAGGCTGGGACTCTGAGTAGATGTAATTAGTAGACAGATGACAATGAGCTCAGGAAGACTAGATCTGAATGTGGATGGAAATTCCTAGAGCATGATAGTGTAACATGCAACCAAGCAGAGAGCACACAGTAAGTCAGAGTTGTTCGTGTCAGAATAAGGATAAGAGAAAATAGAGAAGAGTCGAGTGACAATTGCTTTATTTGACTCCTAACTCATGCATCCAGTAGATATTTCTGAACTGATTACAGTGGACCATTCACAAGTCTATATGCTAAGAATAAAACTGTTATTAACTGAATCAACATCTTAGAACTTTTATTCTAATTGGCACAATTGAAAATGAACACACTGACACAAATAAACTGCATAATTCAGTTTTATGAGTCTCAACGTAAGAGAGATGACCATAGTGATATAATGGAATAATTAGAATAGGGAGAGCAATGATAGAGCAAGGGGGTATGATGGAGTAAGTGGGACTTGTAACAGTTCAAGGGGGAGCTGTGGTAGGGATGGAAGAGGATTATGTTAATGGGACAAAGGAGTTATGATATTTTAAAGTGATAATAATACAGATAAAGATGGGATGTAATAAAATAAGTGGTGGGTGATAATAGAATATGAGAGGAATATGATAGATTGGGATGGGCTTTGATAGAGTGACAGGAGGACTATGA